CCTTCCTTCCTTCCTTCCTTCCTGTGTTTTTCAGTGAGGAGTCACCATCAGAGAGGTTAAACGAATCTGAGGTGGCCCAGCTCTCCAACAGCAGGGCACACCAGGAATCTGGTTTTGTCAAAACAGTACATCCCCACCTTTTTGTCTGAAAGAGATATGGCTTTGCCCTCCAGAGACCTTGAAATCTTGTGATAGCACATACATTTCTTTAATTTTTTTTTCTAATTATAAAAGTCATCATTCATCCTTTGGGGGAAAAAAGAAAATAAGAGAAAGTTGAAAAGAAAACAAGAGTCATCCAGAGAGGACATTTAGCTCACTTCCTTCTTTATATGTCTTTGCATAGGCTATATGTGAATTTGTATATTTTGAATTTACATATAAGCATGTCCAGGACTTCATTAAATAGTTTTTTACAAATGTATTTTAAAATTACAATATATAGTCCTTGTTATGGATGATTCATAATAGACTGTTTATAGTTTTAGATTTTATCTATTTTTTTATCACTAAATAAAGCTTCAGAGAACATCTTCATGCCTTCAACTTTGTCAACACTTTGGATTATTTCCTCAGGATAAATAAGTAGAACAAATATTAATGAATCAAATATCTTAATGCTCATAAAACATATCTCATGACTTCCTAGGAAAATAGTATGATCTTATCCTCCTCTCTGTGGGTATTTACTTCAACCACCCAGACACCCGAAAGTGGGTGAATTTAGAATATTTTCATTAAGAGCACGCCAGGTAGACGCCCCCCCCCCCCCCCGCGGGCTCCAGTAGCTTTGCTCAGTCCTGGCCTTGCAAGCTGCGGCTGGGGGTGACCCGGGATAAAGACATCAAGCGCCAATCAGCGGCCAGCGCGGTGGACTATCGGGTGGACTATCGCGCTCTACGAAGTCGGAGAAAAAAAGGACACATTGAGAAGGTCGTGGTATCAAAAGCCCAGAGTTCAAATCCTGTTCTTCGGTTCCAGCTTTATTTTCCTCTCCTGGTTTGTTAGAGATTTGGGACATGAAAAGGCTTTCTGCCGCCTCGCAATTGGTGCAGACCGAATCTGCGTTAGGGAAAGGGCGGCTTGGGCTCAGGCTCCGGCACACCCAGAGCAAGCCTGGAGAGAGGTGTGCGGACCGCTCTTGCCCAACCGGGGCGGGGAGAGAGGCTGTGCTCCTGCCTCGCCCGTCCCCGCCGCGCAGTACGTCGGAGCAAACGTCGCGGTACCGGTTTCCTCTTTTCTTGCTCTCCCCTTGCCCGGGTCTCGCTCTCCCCAAGTCACCTCCAGACCCCCGGGACCCGAACGTTGCAGCAAACAGGCCGGGCTTCGGTGTCTCCCCTTCCTCCTCCTCCTTTAACGCTAGAGCGCACTGGGAGCGCCCCCTCGGGAGAGTGGAACCCATAACGTGCATCTTACCCGCCCGGTCCATTGCAACCACAACAACACTGCCCCGCGGCGAAAGGGCAATGCGAGCGACCTGGCCGCTGGCCGCAGCGGGGGCATCCGGGAGGGACAAGGAGTAGCTTAGGCCGGGCGTCAAGAGCAGAAAATGTCCCCAGCCTCTTAGGCAGGACCCGGCACAGCCCAGACAGTGTGGTGCTGGTGGTGTGTGTGTGTCCCTAGCTCATGAGTGGAGAGGTCGTCATCTCTATTCTTCTTCTTCCTCTTTTTTAATATTGACTATTTATTCGTTTGTTCGTTTGTTTTAAGTAGGCTCCATGCCCCGCAGGAAGGGGGAGAAGGCGCTTGAACTCAAGATCCTGAGTTTAAGACCTGAGCTGAAATCAAAGAGTCTGATGCTTAACTGAATGAGCCCCGCTGGTGCCTCACCTCATCTCTATTCTTAAAATGAGATGGAGGGGCGCCTGGGTGGCTCAGTAGGTTGGGCATCTGCCTTTGGTTGGGTCATGATCCCGGGATCCTGGGATTGATCCCGCCTTGGGCTCCCTGCTCAGCCTGCAGCCTGCTTCTTCCCCTCCCTCTGCTGCTTCCCCTGCCTGTGCTCTCTCACTCTCTCTCTGTCAAATAAGTAAGTAAAATCATAAAATAAAATAAAATAAAATAAAATAAAATAAAATAAAATAATAAAATAAAATAAAATAAAATAAAATATAAAATAAATGGAGCCAGCCATGTCAGAGTTGTGAGTGGATCCACCTTAGCCCACTTAGGTCACACAATAAATAAAATGCTAGCAAACCAAACTAGGTCCATGAACATATTTGAAGCACCTACCCTGGGCCAGCTCGGTCCAAGCTCTGAACCTACTAAGGAAATGAGAAACCTCAGCCCCTTTCTCTTAGCCCAGTCGTGCACAGGAGACAGACTTTTAAATGATTCCCATGCAGTGTGATACTGTGCACAATCATATAGAATTTGTGCACGATGTATATTGAATCTCTTCCCATCCACAGTTAACGTGTCTCCCCCCCTCCCCCGGGGCAGTTTCTTTCAGACTTTCTTAAAATGAAGGGATTCCCTCTTTAAAATTCTATACACAACAGGCAACTCCAAGTGAAGTCTGGCTCTGGGGCCTCATGGGCCTGCAGGAAATCAACTAAGGTCTTTCACAGGTAGCAGGATCCCCACTAGACTAGACTGGGACTTTGCTCTGGGTCTGTTCCACAGTGTATCTTCAGGGCCTAGGCTAGCAACTGGTACATAGTAGGTCTCCAATAAACATTTGTTGCATAAAGAAATCTGCCTTGTTTGCCTGGGGATAGTCTCTAGCATACTCTGGGGACTGGTCCAGAGGTATCTGGCCCACCCAGGGCTGAGGAAACTGAATTGCCCATGGTTGCACTTTCTGCTGGCCACTGTCTCTTTCACTGGGACCGATTTTAAAATATCATAATAATGTTTATTTTTTGAGTATGTGAAACATTAACATAATTCTAAAAGCAAAAGTTATGCAAAAATGTGTATTCAAAGATGTGACCACTACATCTTTACCCTTTCTATTCTCATTCTCATGCCCACTCCCCATCCTTCCCCCCGTTCCTACACATTCCCAATGTCATCACTTTATTCTTTTTGTGCTTCCCCCCCCAACTGATCAGACACATGTATTTCTTAAAAAAACATTTTCCCTTCTTTACCTGACA